TCTGAAGGATGTGTACTGAATCAGATTGTGTGAGGCCATTTAAAGGCTGGTGTCAGATTTATTAACTCCTGGCCAAGTGTAGGAAATGATGATTATACATAAATTAGTCTATTGAGCGATGCATCACTCAAAGAAGTGTCTAGAAAATGAAAAATGACTGAAACGTAACCTGCTCTCAAGGACTATAGATTTGAAGATAGCGAGGATAAAAATACCATCTCCAGACCAGCCATTGGTTGTTTGCAGAAGAACCTACAAAACAGACAATACTGCAGCATCAGTCAACATTGATCCATATTGATTTGTGAGTCTCATTTTTTATTTTTTTTTTTCACTCAGTGCTTAAACAAATCCCTGCTGTGCAAAAGTACTGTGAAGGAGCTCGAGGCACTTTAGGTGTTTACATTCTTATTCATTACACAATAACCGTCAGGGAGGCATCTGCTTGGTCCCAAACTTACAACCAGAGTCACAGTCGAGTTGGATTCACAGAGTCAGACTGGGATTGCGTAAAGAGAGACAAGACACCGAGACAGCAGAGATCCAAGGACGAGGCTTGAATCAGCCGACTGTACTATAAGAATGTATCTGAGCTGTAGTTGAAGAAAAGTGCTTTTTTCAATTGAATCTCCCTGATCTTTCTGCTTTGGTGATGGCCGTTTACTTTTGTGGGTTACATCAAGATGAAATTACACTTAGTTCCTTTAAACTGGTTTTGCCATTTCAGTGAAAGTGCAAAAAATAGGTTTGCTGTTCCTTTAGCATTGTGTGTTTGATGTCATGACTTTTTTCAGTTTTATCTGTTGCAACTCAACCACTATCATTTTGGAGCACCATTAACCCTTACATACTGTTTCAAGTCACATTTGACCCGTTTTGACATTTGACAGCAGTAAAACTACCCTAAACGTCATTTTTTAGCCTGAAATTTGGTGACTTTTCCTTTAGTGACCCAGAATATACAAACACTAAAATATTTCTCATTTTAAACGTTTGTACAGGTGCCACAAATATGTGTACACTGAGGCTGTTGAGATGGATTTTAGATCTACCAGTGTGGGTCAAATCAAGGAAAATGGTGGTTTTAGGGACTCCTGAAACTGTGAAACGCTACAGGCCATGTTTTATGTGTATTTTTTTATTTTTATTTACATTTATTGATGTGACATAGACTATTTAGACATTCTAAACAGATCTGTAGTTTAAAATTTGGTACAGACACTTACTGTGAGGGAATTCTTCACCGTATGGTCCAGGGCAAATTTGACATGAAATAAGAACAGTATGTAAGGGCTGTGTAAAAGGAGAGAACAATACAACTAATGATAAAATCGTGTTTTTAATTTATATAAATTATATAAGTCAGTTTAACTGTTAACTCTTTAATTCACTTGAAATTGTAAAACTGGATTTCTCCTTCAAACAGGATCAACCTGAACAGTTCAGGTTCATGGTAGCTAACATCAGCAAGTTTTGAAATTAAACAGTTGTTAATGATTTCAGTGCATCTACTTGACATCAGTGGCTTTTATGTTACTCATTAACCTCAACTTAATTCATTTTTTTGTGTTACCAGTTGAAGTGGTTCATTTAAATCTGTCCAACACATCCCAGCACAACTGCAGGCTTTTCGAAAACAGGGCTCACGCCATAGTGACTGATTTCTTTTTCCTTTTTTTTGTATAAAAAGTATTATTGGCATTTTCTTTGAGAGGATCTTCACTTTACTTTTAGCGTCTAACACTTAGCTCAGTGACGTATGTTGTTTAGAGATGTAACGGTTCCTGTAGAAAGGCCACAGACAGCAGTGAAGCTCTGCGTGTCCATTAACTGTTGCTCTTGTTATTTCAGTACTTTTCTCTAATAGAAAGTGGATCACAGAAAGTGGCTTGAGTCTGTTAAACCAGTGGACTCTAATGGAAAACTACTGTACAGATACAGAGCATAAGAGGCCTTAATCCCAACCCCACAAAGGACGAAAGGCTGCACAGCAGTTAGTTTAGATGGGCTTAATGTTTCTTTCCTAGAAGACATGTTATAGATGTCTAAATATAACATGAAATGCTCCAGTGTATAATCATATACTGCTAATTTCTGGTAGGAAGCAGACTTTACCACTGATATATTCCTTAAAATGAACAACCTGATTACCAGACAAGTACATCAAGTCCTGGATTTTGTTCGGTGTTTTTCTTTAAAAATTTTATCTGCACGTCGCAAACAACAGTACGGTTAATGTCAGTGAGAGATCACGGCTGTGGAAAATAAAATATTTTTTGTCTATTGTTAGGATCAAGTAAATAAAACACTTGATTTTCGAGAAGTTTTTGGTTTAGGAGAATGGAGGTAAATAAGAGGAAAACAATAATTAGAGGTCTGTGATTGGCACTTCAGAAAAGTTCTTGGACGCAGCCTGTACCTTGAATACGACGCATTAGGAAGTCAAATGCTTGAATTACATTTTCTATTGATAAATAAATCATCAGTGTATGTTGAATATGCTGGCTTATTGACAGCGATCCTGCCCCCGGATGAATGAGGTTTAATTGTGGCTTATTTTCCCGTCTTTGACACTGTTGTCATGGCAATGTTACCTGCTGCTTGTGCGTTGTTGCTGCTGAGTTCATGCATCAACGTTACACCGGAGAACTTGCTATCAGCACCTACATCACAGATACAGAGAGTGTTTTCTGGAGTGTACAGTTCATACAATCTGTGTGAATGTAAGAATATGTCTGACTTAGACGTAAATATGGACCTCGGTTTAATGTGCAACATGTGACGTTTGTGGTGTAGTAATGCATCGGAGTTCAGGGGTCACACTGCCGAGTGCAAGTTTCAAATGCATCTCTATGCATCAACTGTCTTGAACTTGAATAAATGTTAATTACTACCTGAGCCTTGATATGGGCAATTGAGCCAAGTGGAATCCTAAAATATGAATGTGATGCTGTAGATAATAGGCTGAAAATGTTGAGCTTTTAATATATTTGCAAAGATTTCCACCATTAGGTATTAAGTACCAATAAATGTCAGCATGAAAAGGATACGGAGAAGCTCAGTGACCTGCTGAAAGCCTCAGTATCTGTCTAATCTACACTGTAATTATGGGGAACTGTGAAGTGCTCTTTTGTAAAACCTCCTCTGGAAAGACCAATCTCCCTCCTGTCTGCTCACTATATATACACAACACAATGCATCAGGTATGTTACAGGTGATTAAATACCTTCTATTGTGTCAACTGACAAGCTAGAGATAACAATTATTTAAATTTAATTTTGTTTGATTGCTAATATGGCAACTATTTATATCTTTAGCTAAGCATTAACTTTTTAAAAAGACAAACAGTCCAAAACTCAGATGTACTTACAGTGGTCCTCAAATGTATTCATACCCTCCCATTAAAGAAGGAAAAAAACAGCTGTCACTGAAATAAGTTTAAATCGACAAAATTCATGATAAATAAAAATGTAATGAATTGCAATGAAAAGCAATGTCTTATTTCACTAAATTATAATTGAGCTTTTTTTTTTTTATTGTTATTATTGGCTTTTTTTTTCAGTTTCTAGTTATTTGAGTGACTATTGTGAATTTTGCCTTTTCTTGAATGGAAGGGTATGAATACATTTGAGGACGACTGTAGATTGTATGAAACAGAAAAAGCAGCAACTCCTCATATTTGAAAAGTTGGAAATAAAAAAAAAAGAAAAAAAAGAAAAGAAGTTCATTGATTATCACAGTTGGCGATTAATTGACTAACTGGAAGGAGAACACTGCTGTGCACTTGTCCCTGCAATCATGCAGCTAAAATAAATCATAGTGTGTGGCAGCCTTCAGCAGTTAATGTCAAAGGATGAACCTCTGTTTAATGATCTGTTTGGCAATTTGAAACTTGTCACGTGTCACTTCCTTCTGTCCTGCAGTCGGCCTCAACTCTAAGTCACCAGCCCGCTTTTCTAGTCAAACATTCAAAACTAACCACATAAATCAGCAGAGACTTACAAATTGAACAGCATGCCACCGTAACAATTCCCCTTTGTCAGCTGAGCAGTCCGGTTCAATGCTGATTAATGAGCTGAGGTCAGAGTCTCCCCAGGAGGAAGTCGCCATTATCTCCGAGACTGTGCTTGTGGGAATTTTCTGAATGGAGGTGAAGTCAAGAAGAGGCAATCAGTGTTAATCACAATGAAAGAGCACACACTTTGATCTGAGCTCCCCTTTCCTTCGCTCTTCATTTGTCTCTCTCGGGAAAAAAAGGCAAATCCAGCGGAGACTAGTTAGGCCGTGTTTAGCTTCTTTTCAAGGCTTTGGCTATCATTATGGGCTCATGAATAAAAAACACCCAATAGATTCTGGAAATGTTATAGGGTGGCTTTCTCAGCCTTGAGGCGGTGACTGGAAGACCTCCAGCTTTGTATTGATCACACATAGTGACCAGGTTGAACGAAGACAATGTAGACGAACGTGACGGAGGTTGTGGTAAATGTGCATAATTGTGGCAAAACAACGAGCGAGGGTTTTTCTTTTTCGCGGCTCTCGTGCTGTGTTCATACATCTTTTCCCAGTGTGACGTTAATCATTCAGCCAGCTGCAGCATCTCATTACATGTTTGTGGGAATCATTTGGGAAATAACAGTGCCATTATCATTTCCTCTAAATTTTGCAGGATGTGTTTGTTGTTTTTGCCACTGTGGTGTTAAATCTTTAAGTAAGATTCACAGATCAGAAGAGGGGATACAGTTCGACCATAAGTACTGTATGTACCACCCTCTCGGTTTTAGGACTGTAGTAGTAACGGCTTGACTAGATGTTGCAGCAGCTGTGAAAGTTGACAGTGAAGGTGTGTTATCGCCACTGTTAGGAGTTTGAGTTTTGTTCCATCTCCTCAGAGCAGAGGAGCAGGGATCATGCTGAAACCTGGGAGAGCTTCATTAAAACTGCAGTTTTCCTGCCTCTCTTTTGCTAACAGCATCTTTTTCCTCTCTATTCATCTGTTTCAGGACTCAGATTCACTTCACAGTGGCCATTGATTTCACGGCATCAAATGGTGAGTGTTTCGACTACCATTAGCCTGCTGTGCTTCCATTTGTCATCCAATGTATGACTGTGACATTTTCCATGAATCAAAGAGGGGCTGGAGTTTTTTCCATACTTGTGACATTCTCTCTTTTTTTTTGTTGCTGTTAAAGAAGTTTTATTGAAATGTTGACATGCTAAACTTGATAGAGAGAATGCAACAGCAGTGATTGTTGAGAGAATTTAGCAAAGTAACAAAAAAAAAAAGAAGCAAATTATGAGGTGTGATGAGATGTTCAAATGAAGGATCTACAGAAATGAAGAAATGCTTGAGACAGAAACAATTAAAACATTTAAATCAAAGTTGATTGAATGGAATGGAAAATCTATTATGCTGTTGCTCTAATCCCCCCCGAAAGACTTCCTCTAATGTCACATTCATGTCACATCAAAGTTATCGTAATTACAAGTTTCTGATTTGTTAAAACTCGGTAAATTACATGTTTGTGAAAGCTCTGACATATATATACATGGCACCTTATACCAAGCAAATATGGATGCCTTGTCTCATCCTAAGTACCTTTCTCAGTGTAATTAAACCCAAATTTAGCAGATGTAGTGTTGCAGATTATTACTGTGGTTGTCCAACATGGGCTTAGCATGAGGTCCTTGTCATAAGAAAACCCGTCTTTAGGTAGCGTAGATCCGTTCAGTCTGACCCTTGAAGGTGTCTTATTATCTCTGCTCAAAATGAGCTGCGTTGATATCCTGCATGTCATATTTTGACTGATTTATTCCAAGTATTAAAGAGAATCCAGGAACTTTAAAACAGAAAGTATTAATGTGCTCTTATCCTCATGCAGCAGCCGTCAAAATTTTTGCAGATTTCCGGTACTGCTAATAAGGCAGGTTGAGCCCCACCTCTGATTCGAGACATCCACTTTAGTTTTGGTTCACTCATTTCTCTCCTGCTGTCAGTTCGCTCTCACTGTGCTGGTTTGCATCGCTGACTCTGACTCCACTTGTCTTGAAAGGAAATCCATCCCAGTCCACTTCACTACACTACATGAACCCCTACCAGATGAATGCCTATGCCATGGCCCTGAAGGCTGTTGGGGAGATCATCCAGGACTATGACAGCGATAAGATGTTTCCAGCTCTGGGATTTGGTGCTAAGCTGCCCCCTGATGGGAGGGTTTCCCACGAGTTTCCACTGGTGAGTAAACTATCAGATTATGAAGCTGTAATTCGGCATGAGAATTTTAGATAAAGTGAATGAAAGTCCATGTGAAGATGATTTCGGCCCTCCCTGTAGAGTTTATTCATTTGCGTGTTTATCTCCTTTCATGTATGCGTTAGTATGTTTTTTTTTAGCAGTATGGATGTGTGCATTTTGAGAATAATGCCACCCCTGTGTATCTCTGACATGCATAATTCTGACTGAATTCCATTTACCTTTTATAGTGCAAATTAGGTTCTGTAAGGCTGAAGGATTCTTAAATCAATTTAGCTTCTCTCAGCCAGCTAATGTGCTCTGGCTGCTGCATAGTACAGCCTAATGAGGAGTGTGTCTACAGGGTAACGTCTGCATCACTCCATGTTTCCATTAAAATTTGCAAATTAAGATTCATCTCACCATATAATTGAAGCCGCATTCTTTCATGCCGTAGTCATGTAAGTGGGTTTAAAAGTAAAGTTTCCGTCCTGGGTGAAATACTTCTCACATGTTTGGTTAGAAATTTGCCCTGTAGCTGAGGAACCTAACCTTTGAAGCAAAGTTTGAGAAGCACATCTCTGGGGGCAGAAAGTGTTTTTTTTTTTTTTTTTTGGAAAATGTCATTCAGCCCTCAAAGAGAAACTCTGCACTGTATGTTTTATGGAGGAGAAGCATGTGTGGGAACATATCAAGCTGCTGCATGGCTACTGAAATGGGAGCATCGAGTCCCCTCTAATTAAACAAATATCTAGCAGTAGAAGTTAAACCGCTGTCTGTATGGAGACCAGAGGTGCCTTTACATGGAGCAGAGACATTAGTTCAAGGATTCTTAAACTGTATGTATTGGCGTTTGATTCTTCATTTTACATTATTTTATGGTTTGTCGCTGAGGAAGCACAGGGAGGCTGAACATCCTGCCTGTGTGGAAAAAAAAACTCTAGTCAACTTTGATCGGAACTTAGAACCGGTATTTTGTGACGTAAACTTAGTTTTACTCTTTTCTGCGGCAAATGTGCTAAGCTAATTAAAACAATGGAAGCACTCGAGTCTCCCTGGTTGTCAAAAGAGTGAGCGAGGCCCAATCACAATCCTAAGTGCTCCAGGAGAAATCCAAAGAGGGGAGGTAGGCAGACGCATTGCTGATCTGCATAATTGCATTGAGAATATTGAATTATTTAGAGGAAAGCGTATTTATGTAAATAGTTGGCTTCTATTTTTGTAAGATGCTTTATTCAGGGTTTTATATGGTCTTGGTTCCACCTAGGTACTCCCTCTCTCAGCTAAATACATGTAGCAGGAAGGGTATACAAAGCAGTTAGTTGCATTCAGTGTGGTGAAGGTTACTTAAAGCGGCTGTAGTTTTAATCAAATGACAATCTGAAAACAATGTGATAATGTCCAAAAAGTGGCTTTGAAGTTGCTCTCTTAAGTCAGAATTACAGAGTTTTAAAACAAGTTTGAGCATCGTGAAGCTCTTCAGTCTGAAACTTCACTGGTTTTGTTTCATCAGACAATACCAGCGCGGCATCAAGCAGCAGACGGTTAACCTCTAACTGGTGAACACAGCAAAGCGTTTAGCAGCTCAAGAGACACGTATTTCCCTTAGGAGTAGGTGGATGTTACACTGAATAAAAACATAAAAGCAGCACGCAAATAGTCTCCTTTTCTGACCTAGAAAAAAGGTTAAAAATCTAACTTTTATTGTTGGGGTTGGAAAAGGCTAAAAATGATCCAATTGTGCACAAAAGGTTTTTTGAGTTGTTTAACTGGGGACAGACTCTTGACCTTTGTATTAAGCCACACCATCATCAGGTGTGGCTTTAAAGGACAGTGATCAGATGGTGTGACCATTACAGACACATGACTATCCTTAAATTACAGCTTTGTTCAAATGGCACAATGCCACAGATGATAAGAGAAAGACGAAAGCTGCTGTTGGCATGTTGGATGTTGGCATGTCAGAACCGGTTACTGAAGGAACATTTATTCAAAAACAACACATCAATGAAACATAAAATCATCCAACAGGCCCTGACAGAGACGGTTCTTGAACTAATCAGCTTTAACATTCCATCGAGAAAATTCACCAAATCTGAACTTTAAATCCTGATATTCTTTGGATTGTTGGGTTCTCTGTTTAAATGTGTAAGGTCTATACCTTAACATGTTAAGTGCTATGTGATGACGTATGTTGTAAACTGCGTTATACAAATAAAACTGAATTGAATGTCAGTTAGAGCTACATGTTAATGTCCACAATGCCACCATTTGTTGTCTAATAAACAGACAACACACAATCTGCCATAATATGCTCTGGATGTCTGACAACATGATCCTCTCTCCTAAAATGTCCATCAACTTCACCAAGTCCTTTGGGAAGAGTCGGAAAAAACCATCCACAAGCAGCAACAACAACCTCATTGACTATGCAACACAGACATGTGGCACTACGTGATGCAAAGAGTGGACACGCTTGTTGCCCATTTGTTATTCTGGTCCAACACCCTGCTCTCACTCTGCCCGTTATCATTTCCAATATAGTCGTAACTTGGCTGTTTAATGACATCCATTCTGTTGTAGAGAAAACACATGTTGGAACAACACATACTTGCTCCCATATGTTACAAAGACTGGGTAGAATCAAATAAAATATACATTCTACAATGCTGTGTTTATGTTTTTGTTTTTGTTTAGTATAAATGCGTATTAAGTGGACTGAAAAATTACTAAGGCAGTGACAGTGTTGCTCTTTAATGCTGGATGTGGAAATAAACAACTGTTTGCTAACAAGTTCACCATAGAAACTGAAAATTTGGTGACAATATGCCAGTGGTCACAGCTTGTTTCTGCTGCTCCAAAGTAACCAAAATATCCAATTATTACAAGTTTAACTCACTGTAGTTTGACACAGCACTGCTAAATAACTATTATGTTCTGTGTAATTCATGTTTTTCTTGTTTTTGCTTCTAAGAATGGCAACGTTGAGAACCCGTACTGCAACGGCATGGAGGGGATTCTTGAAGCTTACCATCAAAGCCTTAAGACGGTTCAGCTGTATGGACCCACCAACTTCGCTCCTGTTGTTAATCACGTGGCAAGGTACAAACACAAACATCTGTCCCGGAGAATATATCAGAGCACAGAGCGCTTTTCTTTGAAAGTCAGTCTGTAAATAATCTTCAGCAGGCAGCCGCGCCATCAGAGGTTTTAAGACAGTGAGTGATGGTTTCTCTGTGAATTGAGCTGAACTAATAAAGGGAAGAGAGACAATCAGCTGCCAGGCTGAGATGAACAGAAATGGTAATCAGGCGTATGTGGGGCCCTGATTCTGTAGAGTTCAGCTGCTACATTATTTTTTAGACGTATAATATGGTCAAAGTAGGAAGCTAAGATGGCGTGACTGGCAGGGGACTTGTAAATGGCTTCATGTCATGTAGTCGTCCGTGACATGTGTTTCTGAGTCGCACTATTCAGTAAATGAGCTTCAATCCAAAGGGCACCACGTGCTTTAATGCCCCATGACAACCTTCCTGTCATAGCAAATGGACTACGTGCACAAGATGATTTGAAAAGCTAAACAGCAGACATGATGTGTTGGAAATGATGATCTTGGGGTCTCCAGCAGCTCCCCTGGTAGAGTCTGTACATTAAGACTGAGCTCTTAGTGCAGTGGCCTGGCTTTAGATTCAGCCACTTTGCTGCATGTTTTTCCTTATCTGTCCCTCGTTTCTCATTTTTGTCTTTTATTTCTGTCTCTTATCAGCTGTCCCTATAATAAAGACAAAAAAATCTTGAAAAATGATCATGTCATAGTAGAAACAATTGTAGAATTGTTATATTAAGGCACGGGTGTGCACTGTTTCACACTGTGTTTAAATACTTGACTCTCAGACTCAAACTTGGCTTGGACTTAAATATTTTTGACCTACCTTCAGACTCAGTTTTGTGCACTATACACCTGAACTATAATATATTAGGTTTTCCTAATGTACATACCTTTTTCTTCCTTTCTTTTTTTTTTATAACAGTTACACCATGACAATTTATCTTGCAACAAATGAATGGAGTTTTCAATGATGTAGTGATACTTAGAAATTGAGGACAAGACTAATATTGTGTGTGTTGAGTGCTGAGAAAACTGGAAGCAAGATCTGCAGCTTAAATCAGTTCCATTTAAAATCCACCAAAAAAAAAATCCCCTAAAAGATAAAAGTCCCCTGCAGACCTTTTTTCAAGATTTCAAGGAATAAAAATTAATAATAACTAAAAGTCCCTCTAAGGATTTTATTGCTTAATAAAAATGCCGCATTATGGCAGGGAATAGTCCCGGCTGAAAGCAAATGGATATGTATTTATAAAATTACACTTCATACAGTCGCTTCATGCCCGAAGGGTGCAGAGTAACTATGAGCGCAGTAAAACACTTATTCACAAAGATGGTGAAGGCCTTGAGAGATGCTTTACCATCCAGAATAAGTGAAACAGGTCATCTTAAAAAGCAGCCATGAAAGGATTGAAATGGCTATTTACCTGACCAAAAACAGCACTTAGCATTAGATGCCGAGCAGGTCAAGCAATTCTTTTGAGTAGCTGCGTTCGGTTCAGTTCAGATTTTCACCGCATCACAAGCTGAGAGCTGATTAATTAATGAAAGCAGGCAATGCTGCTGAAGAAGTGAAAGGTGTTGATGTATTATGCATACTGTATACTAACTGCACAGTAGGCTGTTAAATGGTTAATATTTTAAACACGCCAGTTCTATGTGTACAGAGATCTATAATACAGGATTGCCGCTACAGTTACTACTTGGCGTTAATGCTCCACCGTCTCCGGTGACTCTGCTCCGCATTGTTGGGAGGCAAGTGAGGAAGACAAATGTATGTTTAATCTCTTAAACACCAGACATCGCTCTTGCTGTTGTCACTGACTGGGCACGCTCTTTGATTAAAATGTCAAATTTACCAGGCTGAAGGCGAGAGCGAGGGCTCACCTCCGACCTGTCCTTGGCTCCCGTGATGATCCACCACATTTTTTTTTCCCTTTTCTCGCTCATCAAGTCTGGTCAAATGAGTGCTCGGCAATCAATAATGTTCTAAAAGAATAAGACTGCTGCACTTGCATAAACAGTTTAATAAATTATTCATAGAGCAGCCAGCGATGGCCGTTTGAAACTAGGCCACACTCACTGTGGTGTCTCTGATGGGTTTCGTAATAGTGTCTGGATAGACCTCTGAGACATGAGGAGCTACACAACACACTTTACTGCTTTACACGCCTATGTTAAACTTCTGTGTCACATGCTGAGCAGAGGGGCAGTTTGTTTCTGAGGGATGCTGTTTTCTCATGTGTTGACGCTGACACGGTAGTTACTTCTATCAGGCCAGTCTCAGAGTTTTATGTAAGCCCATGTATATGTCATCTGTCTGCATCTGTCCCAACGTTTTACTGATGATTTCTTTCATCCAGGTATGCAGCAGCGGAGCAGGACGGATCTCAATACTTCGTCTTGCTCATCATCACTGACGGTGTGATTTCAGACATGGCTCAGACCAAGGAGGCCATAGTGAATGTAAGTGCTGCTCTGACACAAGCCAAGAGATGTTAACTCCTCTCCCCGTCCTCTTTGGCTCTGCAGGCCATTGGCATTGCAGGTCCTTTTTATCTTACAATGGCACTGCTCTCAGGCTTTCTGTTACTTTGAGGGTTTATAAGCCAGTAGCACTAGATTTGAGGATTTATGGGATGTTTTCTGCTCCACTTGTCTCAACCCCCTGTGCTCGGATGCTCTGTTTGTCCAATATTTCTCCTTCTTATTGAAACCCTCAGGAGGCTGAGGGGCTCAGCTGAGATTCACTCTCAGGCCAATAGGTTCACTTTAATAGAGGCAGGGTCTCTAACCGGTACGCTAACTGAGGCGCCAGCTTGTCAATTTATGTTAGAATTGACTGTGTTTGTTTGATTCCTGTGCTGCCTGCTGCATATTTGCTGTGTCCTGACAACACTGCAGCTCACCTGTGGTTGGAATCGACTGGCTTCGTCGACACTCACGGCAACACAGTGTTCTGACCCCCAGCAGACTGGGTTTAAAGGGAATTTGCGACTGTTAGTCAAACCATTCGAACAGCCACACCTTCCTTTTAAGATCTTGTCTGCTGCTCTGCACTCTGCTGCTCAGCCTGAACCTGCTGCCGCCTCCTGCACCTGGCTGCTCTCTCCTCTACCCGCAGAGCTAAAGACTGGACGGCCTGCTTGCATTCAGCCTTTGCCCTGGAGAGATGAATCCTAAACAAGGAGTTATGTGCAAAACTCATCTCGGCATCATTTTCTTTCTTACATGCTGTCCTGAGTCTTTGGAGCTATTTTTAAATATTGCACAGAGCAGAGATTGGCTGCTAATTTCACTAGTAGTGCTAATGGCCAAACTGTACTGTAATGTTTATTCTGATTTCCTTGTTCCTTAAAACCAGCACAGCTTAAACCTTCAGTGACGAATATGTTCACATAGCCAACAGAACAGCCTCTGGGGTAAATACAAACTGCAGTGCCGTCCTTTGATGTTTTTCCTTTAAGCTCCAGATATCATTTTGGAATCGTAAATTATAAAAGAGACTGTCTGTCTGACCTGGTCTACCAAACCATAAATTAATTTGTATGCAGGTATTAGATTAAGTCTGCAGTTGTCAATTTGATGTCTGGATGCAAGACTGGCTCACCAGTAATTTCATGAATATTTTAAAGTTTCTGGAAGACTCAAGGGGCTTCATTTGGTAGAGTTTATTCATTCTGAATCAGAAAAGGCTAAACTTTCACCTCTCTGGCCAACTTTGGAAGCGTAAATTAAAAATAGGAAAGTAAATTAAAAAACTACGTGTCCTGTACACATTGTAACAAGAAGAGATACTGAATTTATTTATTTTGTTAAATTATGTTTCTTTTTTTGTTTACAGAATTTTTAATCAAGCCAGCAGTTTACATTACGTTGAATGAATTATTCAGAGTGAAAGCTGTAAACACTCGTGTTCTACAGCCACCCTTCATTTAAACCCAAAGACAGTATTTCCAAAGATTTCCAAAATGTTGGGTTTGATTTAGGGGAAATATACCAGGAGACATCTAAAATATATTCATTTGATGTCATGGTGCTTCAGAAAAAACATGAAGTCTTAGGTTTGGATTTTTCCCTCAGTGTCCTCTTATGGCTTTTTTATAGCTGCAATGAAGAAATGGAACAAGCTGATGCAGAGTATGTGATACGGACAGAATGAAATGATGACCTAACCTTGAAGTTGGTGCAGGGGAAGAAAACAACTCAGAGTTTAACGGCTCCTATGAAGTTGTCAGACATCACGAGTCAGTTTGTTTTCACCAGAAAGGATCCAAACTGATGCAGCAGAACCACTGATTTACTCTCCGTCCTTGCCAAAATCTGGCATCTGCAGTCGCCACAATGCAAATTTACCACCAATGAATTCATCACAGGTTTGGGTGTGTTATTCTAGTCATGCTTCTATTCCACACTTTTTTTTTTGTTCTTTTCATTTTTAAACTTGTAGTTGTAGACTCGCATAACACTTCTCACATATGCAGTAATGCTCCCCAATAAAACCTTCATTTCAAGAAGAAAATTGGATTTTAAGATATGAATTAAATATACTGGACAAATCAGATTCTTGCATGTGCTGTGGAAACATCTATCTGCCGGAAAATAAAATTATTTAGGCGTCAAATCCTCTTGGTCAAAGGGTCAAATGCCTTTAAGTGTTTCTATAGTTACTTAATATTAAATGAAATGAACCTACTGAGTCTCTGTATGTTTATTGTGGTTGTGTGCTGTGAGAAAGGAGGACGTTTGAGTGCAGACAGACTGATGGAGTGAGATCCCCTGAGTGACTTTACAGTACAGGCAAAGTAACAAATGGTGTAGACTGAATAATTCACTTCTGGATACACAATCCGGTCTGGCATTTATAGGTATATGCTTGTGGGCTCTGACCTGCTAGAAGAGGGCCACACAGAAAATGTATTTTTGTGTGAGAGGAAGACGGTCATGAGAAATGAGCCGAGTGGAGGGAAAGACAAAATGGGAAACGAGACGGAGGGAGAGGAATGATAGAGACCATGAATGAGGGGGGGTTGGTGGTCCTTCTTAGTCTATTTACTCCTATCTGTGACAGGCCTCTCCTCTCGGGAGGTTTTTCCAGGAAAGCTGACCTACTTTTACCCCTGTAAATGCATTTCTACCACAAGCATATATCATTCATCCATCCCAGAGCTTTCACATGCTGCACATCAGGGCTGAGGTCTGATATGGTGCAGCACAGTAACCCCTACGCCACAAAGTGTTCATTTGATGACCCTTATGAAACCTTTATTATGTAGGTTTAACATTTGTTTCGAATAGGCAGGACATCTTTGTTCTGATATTAATAGAAGTTGAAACATTTCTATAAGCAAAAGTCATGAATAATTAATCTCAGGGAGGTGTGTAGGATTTCTACAAACTGCACGAACGTTGTGTAACCTTGTGTACTTCAACTGGGATAACATTCTACGTTGTAAAACTGTAAAATGTGTACTCTGTGTAGTTGTTAGCGAAAATACTGGCTGATGTATGCCATGAAGTCCCTGACTTGAATAATGTATTTTTTTGTTTTCTCTTTGTCCCTTGACAACAAAAACTGTGCAAGAAAATGTGATGTGAAACACAGTCAGGATGCTGTTATGATGCTATGTATAATTCACGTTCATCTTATCCTTTATTTTTGTTTGCCTGTGGCTTTTCGGGGGATCTGCTCTTGCAAGTTAATACTGACTTTGCAGTGCGACATGTGTATCGGCTGAAAAAGACACATAATTGGAAATGTAACCCCTGCATGCTCTGATAAAATCTCTGATGTTGGGGTCCTTTTTTTTTATACGGAAAATATCACATTCCAGGCATGTGAGTGACAACTGACTGTCTGTTCTCTTTGTTCATGACAGGCAGCTAAACTCCCCATGTCGATCATCATTGTTGGAGTTGGCCAAGCTGAGTTTGATGGTGAGAATACTAACTAAAGTTTGCCAGGAGAGAAATATGACTTTGCAGACTTTCCGGCAGCTCTGACTTTCCACAAGAGAATAACAACTATTGTACTTTTAAGAGTCTGGTCAACGCACAGAATGAGAACACTTCCCCCCCAGGCTGGTGTTTTGATTAACATGTGTACCTTTTGGACACCAAGTCATACAAGAGATTAATTTTTAATAAAACCTTCTCTCTCTGTAGCCATGGTGGAGCTGGATGGTGACGACATCAGAATTTCCTCGCGGGGGAAGTTGGCAGAAAGAGACATTGTACAGGTGAGAAGTTTCTAATGTTGTGTTTCACGCTCAGCTCAGATTATTTTTGGCCCATTCAGGGCCATGTATGTACAGTAGATGTCAATCTTGGTTCTTTTGTTTCATTCCAAAGCAAAATGTCTCTTGAAATATGCCATGGATAGTCACGGTCCTGAGGAAATAACATCTAATCAGTTTGGTGACCCTCTGATCTTATCATAATATCAAAATCCAATGAGCACGTTACCGTGACATTTACCAAACACATTTATCAAACATGAAGCCTTTCCATTTTCCACAGCCCATATTCAGACCAAAATGTCAACTTTGTGCACAAATTATCAGAAACTAAGCAGTAGATTTCTATAAGATGTAATCGGCATGTTCTTGGTCCACAGACGATAAACTTTAATGTTTTATCTTGTTGATATTTCTCTTGCTGAGGCTGGAATCTAAACTTTTTTTGTAACATGAAGTCTTACAGCCTAAAAATACATAATACATGCAACATTTTATGAACACATCTATGCACAGAAGAGGGCAACCTCTTCAGATTTTATGACTGCTTTAGTGCCACTGTGAAAAAAAAAAAAAATATATATATTTGCATTTGTCACCTCTCTGGCTATAATACTCTAAAATTTGATTTATGTTGGTGCCTTAAGGGGCTTGGCATAGTTACACAGCTTCTGCATGAATCCCCCCAGATAGCCTCCTAAAAAATGTAATTACACTTCAGGGTTACTGTTGCTACAGACGAACCACATGGTGACACTCTGGGCTGCGATTGGTCGACTTTGGCTGCTGTTGAGAGTGAAAATGACATTAAGGGACTTGAAGAAAGACTCAGAAGTCTGCTGCAGTTCAGGGACACAAATCTAGAAATTTCCACTGAAACGGTTCTGATCAGCTCAATTGCTGCTGCGTGTCACTGCGAACAACCCCCCAGCATGAACACATCTCCTATTCAGTAATGAGGAAAGGGGATGTAGCATTATATGGTGTGAATTGTTTCACTAAGACCTCAGTCCAAGTTATTCAATATCAAAATGTAAATGACAAAATGAAACAAAGCTAATGTGGGAAATATAACTACGACAGATGACAGTAACTATACAGTGCCTATAGAAAGTAGAAATCCCCCCTTTTATTGTCGATCTAATTTCGCTTTATTTTTGTGACAAGAATGAACAAAAAAGCCTCCTTCGTGTCAAAGTGAGAAAGGATTTCTACAAATGAATTAATGTCAAATATTTAAAATAGAAAATGTGAAATAAATGATACCTTTTATAGACACCGTAGTTCAAAAACTAAAGCTTGAGTGTGTAGAAATTAAAGGGATCAGTTGGCAGAAATGGAATTCAATATACATAGTTGTCAAAAGCATATAATTACTGAAAAATAAAAGCATTGTGTATTTATAAGAATGAACCTTTAGAAAGATCCCATAATGTTGCCCCAGCCACCTTTCTACAGTGGTCCAGAACAAACAAACCTAACAGTAGCTCTACAGAGGGCCTTTTGTGTTTTCTGTGGCAACTGTAGGTTCTCCTGCAAGTTTGGAACGATAGGATGAGGCAAGAGGTTTTCATTTGGTTAAAGTCAACAACCTCACTGCTAGATGTCTTTAAATTCTACACACTGGACGTCCAAAGGTGGCTGACCAATTGCGTGGAGTATAAATCCACTTTCATAATAGAATAGAATAGAATAGAATAGAGTAGAATAGAATAGAATAGAACAGAACAGAACAGAATAGAATAGAATAGAATAGAATAGAATAGAATAGAATAGAACAGAACAGAATAGAATAGAATAGAATAGAATAGAATAGAACAGAACAGAATAGAATAGAATAGAATAGAATAGAATAGAATAGAATAGAA